CCATTATTATACTAAATAAAAGGGAAAACTAGAAACAAATACACAACTTACCATAATGAGAACTGTTGAAGACACCTGTTATTGTCTTGCATGAAGAGTTGTCCCCACCACACACTCCACATTTGTCTATCTTGGCACTGGAGTTTAACACGTGATCACAACCAGCTGCCTTCAAGACACAATTACAATCAATATTATAAGAATGACTAATTATGAAGAAAAGAGAGAAGATCCAAATACATATAATCAGAAATGACAAAGGGGATTTACCACTGACCCCAGAGAAATACAAATAACTCTCAGAGACTACTATGAACACCTCTATGCACATGAACTAGAAAACCTAGAAGAAATGGATAAACTCCTGGACGCATACACCCTCCCAAGACTGAAGGTGGAAGAAAGAGAATCCCTGGACAGACCAATAATGAACTCTGAAATTGAATCAGTAATAAGTAGCCTACCATCTAAAAAAAGCCCAGGACCACACGATTCCCAGCTGAATTCTACTAGGTGTACAAACAAGAGCTGGTACCATTCCTACTGACACTATTTTAAAAATTGAGGAGGAGGGACTCCTCCCTAACTCATTCTATGAGGTCAGCATCATCCTGATACCAAATCCTGGCAGTCACACGACAAAAAAATAAAACTTTAGGCCAATATCCTTGATGAATACTGATACAAAAATCTTCAACAAAATACTTGCAAACCAAATCCAGCAGCAAATCAAAAGCTTATCCACCACCATCAAGTAGACTTCATCCCCAGGGTGCAAAGTTGGTTCAACATACACAAATCAACAAATGCAATTCATCACATAAACAGAACAAAATACAAAAATCACATGATTATCTCAACAGATGCAGAAAACGCTTTCAATAAAATTCAACACCCCTTCATGTTAAGAGCTCTTCATGAAGTAGGCATTGAAGCAACATACCTCAAAATACTAAGAGTGATCTATGACAAACCCCCAAAGGCTATTATACTGAATGGGGAAAAGCAGGAAGAGTTTCCCTTGAAAACTGGCACAAGACAAGGATGACTTTCTCACCACTACTATTTAACATGTACTGAAAGTCTTGGCCAGTACAATCAGGGAAAAGAAAGAAAGAAAGGGCATCCAAATAGAAAAAGAGGAAATCAAACAATCCCTGCTGGTTGATGACATGATTATATATCTAGAAACTCCACAGTCTCAACCCAAAAGCTCCTTAACCTGACAAACAACTTCAGCAAATTTGAAAGATACAAAATCAATGTACAAAAATTAGTACCATTCCTACACACCAATAATAACCAACTTGAGACCCAAATAAGGAAGACAATCCCTTCACAATGGCCACCAAAAGAATGAAATACCTAGGAATACAGCTAACCAGGGAGGTGAAAGATCTCTGCAATGAGAATTATAAAACACTGCTCAAAGAAATACAGATGACACAAACAAATGAAAATATTCTAAATATTCTATGCTTACAGATGCGAAGAATCAATGTCATTAAAATGGCCATACTGCCCAAAGCAACGTATACATCCAATGCCATTTCTATAAAACTACCATTGATATTCTTTACAGAACTAGAAAAAACTATTTTAAAATTCATATGGAACCAAAAAAACAGCCTGAATAGCCAAAGCAATCCTAACCAAAAAGAACGAAGCTGAAGGCGTCATGCTATCCAACTTCAAACTATACTACAGGGCTACAGTAACCAAAACAGCATGGTACTGGTACAAAAACAGACATGCATACCAATGGGGCAGAATAGAGAGACCAGAAGTAAGTCCACACAGTTACAACCATCTGATCTTCAACAAAGTTGATCAAAACAAGCAATGGAAAAAGGACTCCCTATTCAATCAATGGTGCCGAGATAAATTGTTAACCACATGCAGAAAAGATTGAAACTGAAAACCTTCCTTACATTGTATAAAAAAAATCAACTCATGATGGATTAAAGACTTCAATGTAAAACCCCAAACTATAAAAACCCTGGAAGACAACCTAGGCCATACCATTCTGGACATAGGAACTGGTAAAGATTTCGTGATGAAGACACCAAAAGCAATTGCAACAGCAAAAATTGGAAAATGAGATTTAGTTAAATTTAAGAGCTTCTGAACAGCAAAAGAAACTATCAACAGAGTAAATAGGCAATCTACAGAATGGGGGGAGATATCTTCAAACTACACATCTGACAAAGGTCTATTATCCAGCATCTATAAGGAACTTAAATAAATTTACAAGAAAAAAAAAACAATAAAAAAGTGAGCAAAGAACATGAACAAACATCTTTTAAGAGAAGACATACATGCAACCAACAAGCATATGGAAAAAGTGCAATATCAATGATCATCAGAGAAATGCAAATCAAAACCAAAATAAGATAGCATCTCACGCCAGTCAGAATGACTACTATTAAAAAGTCAAAAAATAACAGATGCTGGAAAGACTGCAGAAAAGAGAACGGTTATACACTGTTGGTGGGAGTGTAAATTGGTTCAACCACTGTGGAAAGCAGTGTGGAGATTCCTTAAAGAGCTAAAAACTGAACTACCATTCAACTCAGCAATCCCATTACTGGATATATACCCAAAGGAATATAATTTGTTCTACCATAAAGACACATGCAGGTGTATGTTCATTGCAGCACTATTTACAATAGCAAAGACATGAAATGAACCTAAGTGTCTACTAATGGTAGACTGGATAAAGAAAATGTGACACATATACACAAAGGAATACTGTGCAGCCATAGAAAAGAATAAGATTATATCCTTTATAGGAACATTGATGGAGCTGGAGGTCATCCTCCTTAGCAAACCAACACAGGAACAGAAAGCCAAATATTACACGTTCTCACTTATAAGTGGGAGCTAAATGATGAGAATACATGGGCACAAAGAGGGGAACAACACACACTGTGGCCTGTTGAGGGTGGAGGGTGGGAGGAGGGAGAGGATCAGAAAAAGTAACTATTGGATACTAAGCTTAGTATCTAGATGATGAAATAATCTGTACAACAAAACCCTATTACACGAATTTACTTGTATAAAATCTTGCATATAGACCCCTAAACCTAAAATAAAAGTTAAAAAAAAAAATGACCAACTATAAGAATGGTACTTTAAAGTTTACAAAGTTCTTTTCACAAATATCCTTTCAATTACCAGGAGATTCAGTACAACAGAATTGTTTCAAAATATGTACTCATCTTGTTGTGTGTCAATATTTTCACATATCTATTTACATGGTCTAAAAAGTCATGTTTATTAAAGGGTCATCCACAGACCTCCTGCATCAACATCACATGGGGTGGTATTTAAAAAGACAGATTCCCAGATCTTCTGAATTATAATACTTGGAAGTCAAACCTAGGAATCTGCATTGTAACACTGACATTGATTCCAATACGCACTGTCATTTGAAAACCGCTCTTAAAAGAAATGTAATTCAAAGAGACTAAAGAATGAGTATGTCAGTAACACATTAGAATACTCCAAAAAGATGTCTTTCATAGTTACTATTTTAACTCATGACCTTAGAACTCTGCAAATAATCTTAGTTTCAAATAAATATTTAAAAGCAACATTTTCTCTAAAACTAATACCCAGCATAACAGTGCTTATTTTAAAAACTGAATGAATATGCAAGTAGACGGCTTGTTCCAGAAATTTCAAAAAAACAAATGCAGCTCCTCTCCATGAAGAAGCTGTCCTCTGCATACGTTGCAATAACTCTTTCCGTTGTTTGGAATGGCCCTCTAAATTTAGTGATCAGTAAAGAAAATTTCTTAAGCCTCGTGAATTTTTTTATATACAAGGCAGATGTTTTCAAAATCAAAATTTTAAGTATATATTTTCTGAAAGTAGTATGCCTCTATATGTTCAGATAATCTTCATCATAACTTTTGCATTTTGATATGACTTTAAGCTGCTAATTTAAAGCACAATTTTTTTCAGGCCACTGAATAACCTTTTCAGTATTTAAGCTGTTTCCAACTTAAATTATTTTAACTCTCTTTGAACATCTCATTAGCTCTTTGGGTGAAGGGCCTTTATCACCCAGATAAGGTAATAGAGACTTGTTTACAGGGAGATTAAGTTTGCCCTATAGAGTTCCACTTTAACCAAAGGAATAAGTTCTTAAGATTATACTTATATTTTTAATTATTTTTTATTGTTTATTTTTAAATTGACAGATAACATTGTATGTTTTTATCATGTACAACGTGATGTTCTGAAGGATATCAATACATTAAGGAATGGTTAAATCTAGCTAATTAACAAATGCATAACCTCACGTAGTTATCATTTTTGTGGTGACAGCACATATCCACTAAAAACAGAACTACCATATGATCCAGCAATCTCACTACTGGATACATATCCAAAGGAAACGATATTAGTATATTAAAGAGAGATCTACACTCCCATGTTTATCACAGCTCTATTCACAATAGCCAAAATATGAAATCAACCTAAGTGTCCATCAGTGGATGCATGGATTTAAACGATGTGGTTTATATACAAAATGGTATATTATTCAGCCATAAAGAAGAGGAAACCCTGCCATTTGTGACAACATGGATCAATCTGGAGGACATTATGTTAAATGAAATAAGCCAGGCACCAAAAAACAAATACCATATGATCTCATTTATATGTGGAATCTAAAAAAGTTGGTCTCATAGAAGTACACTTACTATATTCTTTAGACCACATTCACTAGCCTAGTTCTCAAACTTGCCATCCATTCTCAAGATTGCCATTGCAATGTTTGTGCTTTAACTCAGCATCTCATCAGCTCTGACCTAGACCACCTGTCTCCAATCTTCTAAATCCAATATTTTGAAGATTCCAATAGGCAAACTGAATCACATCTCTCCCTTGACTTCAAATGCTTCTATGTGTTTCCAAGGAGTTAAGAAAAAAAAAGTGCATTTGACAACCATCTGCTGGTCCCTAACTCCAACTCTGCTCCCATAATTCCTCTCCTTCTAAAACCTACTCATTTCGATACTTGGCACAAGTCTCATGCGCTCCATGAAAGGTTCTGTGAATCCTTTACCCACCTCCCCATAAAATAAGACACTCCTTCCTCAATAACTCCGTGCTACCTTGCAGATGACCCATAGCACTACATTGTAATTGTTTACGTGCCTATTTCCCCCACAAATCTGTGACCATCTTGGAAGTGGGGTTCTCTGCTCCAATCTTTTATCCTGGTGACTTGAACAGTATCTGACATCTAGTAGCTACTCAATCAATGTTTGTTGAATGCACATAAAAGTAAGTGACAGAGAGCTGGAAAGAGGAAGGGAGAATATCAATGGTTTTAACGGTAAGGAAAACGTTACTGTAGAAGGTTACATTTAAAGTAGCAAAATCACTTTACAATCCTTGTATCCTATTATTTTCTATCTTTTAGGAAGCTGACCTCATTTCTATTTTGATTATGAGTACAATAGACCATAGGAAGTCAGAAAATTTAACTTAATGCTTTGTTGAGGCATTTTTGATGACAGAGAATCCCCAGTAACCAGGCTAACTATACTTCTATAGATAGCATGATAACAAAGGTTGCTTTGTTGGAATGCATAAGAACATATACTGAGATAGTAAAAGTAATATTTGGTTATATAAATAGAAAAAAAACATTATTCTTAAAGTCACTTTAAATATAACAGAAACTTACAGTTTACTTACCATACACCGGCCTTGAACACAGATGTCATGAGTTTCATTTCCACAAGGAGTACCATCTTCAACCATATACTTCAATAGGTAGAAATCATTGGTTCCAGCAACCTGACAGTAGAGTTTACAACGATCTTTTGTGCGAACTGTAAAAAAGAAAAAGGTCACATTTTTAAATGTATAATAATAAAGTTATGTGTTCTTATGTCTCAGAAAAATTTACATCAAAGAAACAGCATAATTTACTTACTGCCACTGTATCTTGGAAGCCACCTCACATTAGAGGGAATGCCATTGATGTTCAAATGTTTGCCATTAAAATCAGAGCATTGCTTCTCTCGAAAGTCTTGTGTGCCTTTTGGACATGAATCAGTATTACATGATCGAAATTTCATCCTGCGGCCCACACAGTAATTTCCTCCGTTTCTTGGCCTAGTCAAATTCATTACATTTTAAAGCATATCAGTACAACATTATTTGTGCCACTTACTTCTAAAAGTTCCAGTCTTTTCTAGGATCTAGAAAACCAATGAAGTCCCACTAACACTTTTTTAACAGAAGTATGTAACATGAGTTTTAAGCAATTCTATGGATAATGAACCACTAAAATATCCACCTTAGCGTGGACAGTGAGCCTAGAGGGCAGAAATGATATCTTATTCTTGACTAGGTTAACTAGCATGAAACCAGCAATGGAAGTTTGTTCTTCCAAAAAAGGGTTTGCTCATTTTCTGGAAAGAATAAAAGACATGTAGTAAGCCAAAGACAGTAACAAAGGCAGAGGCCTTGTTAAATAACAAGAAAATACATACACATCTTTGTCATGTATATCTTATTTATCACTCAATTTAAGGAGTTTTATGGTATCAATCTACATCTATGTTATTTTGGCTTATGCCAGAAAAAAAATTTTTTTGCAGAATTTTTGGAATATAAAGACTTCTAGTATAATTTATCCTAAAATTTAAATGAACCAAGATTTTATTCAGAGTAAGTCACATTTGTGCATTAAAAATGCTTATTAATAATACTTTAAGTAAAGAATATCATATTGCTTACCAACTTCTATATCATGTATACAACAGAAACATTAATTTAAAATCTTAATGCAATATGTAAGCTCTTTTAAATAGTTTGATGAGGGGGATATATGCTTTAGTACTTATTCAGCTAAAGACAATGATGCATCTATAACACAAGAAGCAGAGAAAGGAAAATATCACATGTCACATTGCACAAAACAGTAAAGAAATTGGTAACCAAACTATATATGCTGTCCAGAAGATCCAACACATACATGAAAGGAGCCAGGATGTTTCACTAGGCATACGGTAAATGTGAAAATGCCATTATATAACTGTCATTCACACTTAAAAGTATGTCTCAAAATTTATACTAAATTAAAAAACAAAACAAAAAATGAAGAAAATGGATCTCTGTTCAGTTTATAAAATTTAATCTATTTAGGGTTTTTTTTTTAATGTCTGAATCTACCAAAATATAAATCAATATGACTTAAAGTGTTCCAGAAGTTTTCTGAATCTCAGAAACTTACGGACTGACCTCCAGTTTTAGAAGTGAGTGAAACTGATGTTTACTTTCTGGTGCCTTGAGATAATCTTAATTTATAGTGACATAAAAAAGACATACTCAGGACGATTACAGTGCCTGGTTGAGCTTTCGATTCCACCTCCACATGTTCTTGAACAAGAACTGTAAGGTTCCCATGGTCCCCATTCACCATTTACAGGATGTGTTTCCATTTCTTTGTTTACACATAGCCCACGGCGGCAATGCTATAAAAATAATAAGCACAAAAAGAAATGATGTGTGCCTCCAAGTAGAACATCACAAAAATTGTAATAGCAGCATAAAGATCAATAGAAGAATAAACTAAACAATTTGAAGCAAGTTGTTATTAATTCAGATTACATTTGAAACCATTTTATGAATATTTCCTACCTACTGAGTAAGATCTGTGGAATACAAAAGGAGTGTAATATTTCTCTTGGCTTTAAGATTTAGTGTCACTGGGGAGGAAGGAAAAATTAAATAGTAAAATGGAATATGAGGGGTATTTTTTGAATAGAAGAGCCAAATACTAGGTTAATATGGTATATTTCCATCCTTCCTTTTTTTTACTCAAAGTATCTATTCACTCTTCCACTCATAAAAAGCTTTCTACTTTATCCTATCTGAAGTCTCAGATGACAACCTTGTTTCTTCACTTTCATCAAGAAAATGGAAACTTACAGAAGAATCTACCCACAGTCTCTCACCACCTGTTCTACTCATTCAACAGCATCTGCACTCATACATTCAGACTTGCTACCTGTTAGCACACACGGAAAATTCCCTGTCCCAGACAAAGTCAACCCCTCTGCTTGTGCACTTAATCCCATCCCTTCTCACTACACCAAACATCACTCCAGCAATTCTCTCGTCTCTTCTACATCATCATTTCAGTGACAGCTAATCAAGTATGACCATGCACTCATGCCAGTCTATGAATTAGTCACCAGACTGAGAGAAGATAACACAACTTGAGAGTAAGCATTTCGAAATTTTTGTAAGATTTTTACAGAGAAATTTTATATCTAAGCAAATAATTTAAAAATTGTCTTATGTTTATTTTTAATTGCGGCAAAACACGCATAACATAAAATTTACCATCTTAGCCATGTTTAAGTATATAGTTCAATAGTGTTGTGTATATTCATTGTCATGCAACCAATCTCCAGAACTTTTCCATCTTGTAAAACTGAAGCGCTATGCTCATTAAGCGATAACTCCCATTTTGTCCTCCCTGCTACCTCCTGGTAACCACCATTCTACTTTCTGTTTCTATGAATTTGACTACTCCAGATACTTCATATAATTGAAATCCTATAGTACTAGTCTTCATGTGACTGGCTTATTTCACTTAGCATAATATGCCCAAGCTTCATCCATGTGTCAGAACTTCATTTTTAAAAATGAATAATATTCCATTGTATGTTGTCTCAGTCCATTTTGTGATGCTATATAAGAATACCCAAGATTGGATAATTTATAAATAACAGAAATTCATTGCCCACAGGTCTGAGATCTGGGAAATCTAAGGTCAAGGTACAGGCAGGTTTGGTGTCTGATGAGGCCATTCTCTTCTTCCAAGATAGCACCTTGCACATTGCAGCCTCTGGAAGGAGAGAATGCTGGATCCTCACAGGGCACAATGCAGAAGGACCGAGACAGCTCACTCCTGAAGGCTCTTTTATGAGGCACTAAACCCACCCAGGAAGGAAGAGCCTTTATGCCCTAGTATTATCAAACAGGCCCCATCTCCCAATACTGTTACATGGGCAATTAAATTTCAATATGAGTTTGGGAGGGGGCAAACATTCAAACCATAGCATATGCATTTACCACATTTTATTTTATTTATCCTTTTATCCATCAATGGGCACTGGGTTGCTTTCATCTTTTTTTTTTTTTTTTTTTTTGAGATAGAGTCCCTCTCTGTCACCCAGGTTGAAGTGCAGTAGCATGATCACAGCTTACTGCAACCTCCACCTCCCACGTTCATGTGATTCTCCTACCTCAGCCTCCCGAGTAGCTGGGACTACAGGTGCACACCACCACACCCAGCTAATTTTTGTACTTTTAGTAGAGACAGAGTTTTGCCATGTTGGCCAGGATGGTCTTAAACCCCTGCTTTCACCTTTAGATATTGTGAATAATGCTGCTATGAGCATGAGTGCACAAATATCTCTTTGAGATCTTGCTTTCAAATATTTGGGTATATATCTAGAAGTAGAATAGCTAAATCATATGATAATTCAATTACTAATTTTGTGAGGAATGGCTGTTTCCCATACTGTTTCCCATAGAAAAATTTGGCTTATATTTTGAATTTTTCTCCATTTTATTTTCCTAGTCAATAATTTTTATTACTTTGTACAAAAGTATCAATTTATAATCAGAAATTTTAGAAAAGAACGAAGACAATCTGTTACTACAGATAATTTGCAAAGTAGTTCCCTAGATTATTCTCATTAACACACAAACGCAGCTCTTATTTCTCTCACTTTCAGAAAACAATAGCAACAACAAAATCTTTCTTATATCTCACTGCCCTTACCAGTTACTGCCCTGCTTCTCCTTGAAAGAGCCGGCCATGTTCATTCTTTAACTCCTTGTTTATTCTCTCATAACCCCGCCCCAGCCAGGTTTTTATATCCTATTCCTCCATGAATCTGCTCAAATTGCTAGAAATGCAAAATGCTTGTTCCCTGATGCTGCAAAGAAATATCACTCAAACAATTTTCTCAGCAAGGCAAATTTTCCTTTCTGCAAAACGGTGCTCCTCGCAGATGGAACAATGGCAAGAGCACATCTGGACAGGGCAGGGGCAGGAGTTCTTACTCCTGACACAGAGAACCCCTACTGCTGTGTCATTCCCCTACTGGCTAGGGTTGGACTGCACAGTCTAAGCTAATTCCGACTGGCTATTTTAAAAAGAGCAGGAGTATGAGCCGGAATGGCAGGGTGAGTAGTTTGGCAAGAAGGATGGTTAGGAACAGGTAACTAAAGATGACTTAGGTCAGAACCGGTGACCAAGAGAACAGATGTGAACTACTGTTTAGGAATGGCAGGAAAGTTCTTTACTGAAACTAGAGGCAAGGAGGCAAAGAGAGCCAGGAAGTTAAACTTTAAAATGGAGATTCAAAGAATAAGAGAGCTGAACATACTGACATACTGATTCTTTGAAGAGAAACTTGGGGTTCACTATATTTAACAATGTGTAGGACACTAATGGCCAGTTCTCATTCTCTGTCTTCCTTATCAGCAATACGTGCACAACTAATCACTTTTCTTCTTTGACATACTTTTTTTCTCCTCATTTCCAGGGCTCTTGGTTTTCTTCCTTTCTTCATAATTAATTGTTCTCATTTTCTTCTGTTGTTTCTTCTTTTTTGTGTGACAACTTAGTGTTGGAATGTTTCTCCAGACTCACATCTCAGTTTTTTTATTCTTTTCTGTTAACAGTCACTTCTAGTCCAGATCTCTCTCTTAAATTATCTTCTTTGTGACAACTTAATGTTGGAATGTCTCTCCAGGCTCATATCTTGGTTTTTTAATTCTTTACTATTAACAGTTACTTCTAGTCCAGATCTCTCTCCTAAACTCCAGACTCATATATATGCCTACTTACTTATGACTATTTACTGGAATGTCTAACAGACATTTCAAGCACAGCATATCCAAAAGAGAATTCCTGCCCTCCCAACTCAAAACCCACTTTTACTGAGTTGATCTAAGTTGTTCAGCCAAAAGCCTAGTCATCATTTCTCTTCTTCTTCGAACACTCCACATCTGATACATTAGCTAGAATAAATGTTCTACTTCCTTTTAAAATGTATCAAAAATTGACCTTACATTATCTCACTACCATCACTCTGATTTGAGCACTAGCATCCCTTACTTCTATCACTGAAATAGCTAAGTAGATGTTTCCACTCTTGTGCTTGATAGGTTAGCCTTAACACAGTTGCTAGAATGATCTCTTTTTAAACTAAGTCAAATCAGGTATGAATCCATTCAAATCCTTCATTATTTTACTTTGAGTAAATACGCAGTTCTCACAATGGCCTGTGTGAACACCAAAAATTTAAGACGGTCTCAGTTAATTTAGAAAGTCTATTTTGCCAAAGTTGAGGACATGCCCATGACATAGCCTCAGGAAGTCCTGACGACATGCACCAAAGGTGGTCAGGGCACAGCTTGTTTTTACACATTTTAGGGAGATATGAGACATCAGTCAATACATAAGAAGTACATTAGTTCTCTCCAAAAAGGCAGAGACAGCTCAAAGCAAGCCCCTCCCCACCCCCCACTGGGGACTTCTAGGTCACAGGTAAGTGAGAGACAGATGGTTGCATTCTTTTGGGTTTCTTATAAGTATTTCCAAAGGAGGCAATCAGAATATCCATCTATCTCTGTGAGCAAAGTGATGACTTGAATAGAATAGGAAGCAGGTTTGTCCTGAGACCTTCTCAGCTTGAAGATATTTTTCTTTCACACCTGCAATGCCCTACGAAATCTTCCTTCAGCTTCTCCTTATAAGTCTCTTTCTCTCTTCACTTCACTCCAGCTAAAATGTCCTCCTTGGTCTTCTTTGAACACTCCAGGCACACTCCAGACTTAGGAGCTCAGCTATTCCCTTTCTTGGGAATTCATTTACCCCAGATATCCTCATAGCTAACCTTCTCACCTCCTTTAAGACAGCTAATTTGGTAACTTCATATAATGTCTGTCCTAACCATCATATTTTAAATTGCAATCTGCCCTCTCCTACTGTAAAACTTCTAATCAGCTTTCTGCTCTATTTTTTCTGATCCATGGCACCAACCAGTTTGATGGTACTATTATATTAATTATTTATAATATTCTAGTCTCCCTCTAGAACTTAAGCTACATGAGGGCAGAGATCTTGTTGAGAGACAGGACTAGCTGGATTTCCTAGGCCGACTAAGAATCCCTAAGCCTAGCTGGGAGGGTGACTGCATCCACCTTTAAACACAGGGCTTGCAACTTAGCTCACACCCAACCAATCAGGTAGTAAAGAGAGCTCACTAAAATGCTACTTAGGCAAACACAGGAGGTAAAGAAATAGCCAATCATCTATCGCCTGAGAGCACAGCAGGAGGGACAATGATCCGGATATAAACCCAGACATTCGAGCCTGCAACAGCTACCCTCTTTGGGTCCCCTCCCTTTGTATGGGAGCTCTGTTTACACTCTATTAAATCTTGCAGCTGCACTGTCTTCTGGTCCATGTTTGTTATGGCTCGAGCTGAGCTTTCACTCACCATCTACCACGGCTGTTTGCTGCCCTCTCAGACCTGCCACTGACTTTCATCCCTCCGGATCCAACACGGTGTCTGCTGTGCTCCTGATTCAGTGAGACACCCATTGCTGCTCCTGATTGGGCTAAAGGCTTGCCATTGTTCCTGCATGGCTAAGTGCCTGGGTTCATCCCAATCGAGCTGAACACTAGTCCATGGTTCTTTTCCATGACCCATGGCTTCTAATAGAGCTGTAACACTCACCGCATGCCCCAAGATTCCATTCCTTGGAATCCATGAGGCCAAGAACCCCAGGTCAGAGAAAACAAGGCTTGCCACCATCTTGGAAGCTGCCTGCCACCATTTTGGAAGTGGCCCACCACCATCTTGGGGGCTCTGGGAGCAAGGACCCCCCAGTAACATTGTTTTGTTAACTCATGTATCCTACAGCAACAGAAGAAAATGAGGAATAGTGTACCTAAAATAGTGCCTGACATAGTAGGCCCTTGATAAATCTTTGCTGATTGAATGAATCCTATAGCCAAGCTTATAGCAGTAAAAATGCTTTGTGCTCTCCATTAGAAAAAGTCATTCAATATAAGAAAGCCATATTAGAAGTGGAAAAAAAAAATCATAATGTGCTGTGTGCATGTGCATTTTGTAAGCATCTTGCATGAACAATTTAAGTAATCCTTACTCTTTTTAAAAAATAATTTGAGAGACTAGAGCATGAAAATGTTATAATATTATACTATTCTCCATGTAGTAAAATTAAGTCATTATCAGAAGGGTTCACCATGTCTTCACACAAATTGATTTACTAGCAAAAGTGTTCAGCACACAGACTCATTAGATAGTCACAAGATAAACAGAATAAAGAAGAATGTTACGGCAAAATTATAGAATATTTGTTTCAAATGTCCCTTCAATAAAAGGTTTATTTAATACTGAATACAGCTAAATATATAGGGGTTCACTCTGTTTTATTAATTTTAAAAAGAGAATTTATATCTATTATAATCCACATGATGCTACCCCAAATACCACCTTTGCTTTTAATTTGTATTGGCTCTAAAGTAAATCTTAGCATTTCATCACATTTACCTTGAATCTCAATAAATCCATGCCTATCCTACCATCTCAATGGGAAAATATTCAAATGACTGATAAGCACATGAAAAAATGCACAAGGTTGATAATAATCATGGAAATACAAGTTAAAACCACAATGAGATTCCATTTTATACCTAGTGGAATGGCCAAATATTTTTAAAAGACTAACAGTATCAAAAGTCGGCAAGAAATACAGAGTAACTGGAACTTTCCTCCATTGCTGGGGGGAGTCTAAAATGGTGCACATACTTCAGAAAATTGTTTGGCACTTTCTTATGATGTTAAACATACACTTACCCTATCATCCAGCAATTCGATGCCAAGAGGAGAACAAACATATGTCTACAAGAAGACTTGTATAGGGACGTTCATGGCAGTTTTATTCATAATAATCAAACACCAGAAATGATTCAATATCTATTGACAGGAGAATTGATAAATTACAGTACATCTGTATAGCTGAATTATATTGTGGTATAAAGGAATGAACTGCTAATGCACACGATAATATGGATGAAGTTTAAAAATATGTTGAACAAAAGACGCCTGTTCCATTCCACTCCTTCAAAAAAGAGGACGCTCTTTTTTGACAAGAACAAGAAAAAACGAATCTCTGGAAATAAAAATCAGAAAAGGAGTTTTCTCTGGAAGGAAGGAAAGTTGTCTCAAAAGAGGCATAACTGAATTTTTGTTGTTGTTGGTTTATTTATTTATTTATTTATTTGAGAGGAAGTCTCACTCTTGTCCCCTAGTAGTGCAATGGCATGATCTTGGCTCACTGCAACCTCCGCCTCCCAGGTACAAGCGATTCTCCTGAATCAGTCTCCTGAGTAGCTGGGATTACAGGTAGCTGCCTGCCATCATGTCTGGCTAATTTTTGTATTTTTTGTAGAGACAGGGTTTCGCCATGTTGGCCCGGTTGGTCTTGAACTCTTGATCTCAGGTGATCTGCCTGCCTTGGTCTCCCAAAGTGCTGGGATTACAGGCCTGAGTCACCGCACCCAGCCACAACTGAACTTTTTAAAGTGATAGAAATTTTTATTGGGATGTTGGCTATATGTGCATCTACATTTGTTAAAATTCATCAAATTGTATACCTAAGATCTATGCATTATACTTATATATACCTTAATTTCAAAAAATCATGTTTATGCCCTAACTGGATTTAGAATATTAATAAATTAGCTATAAATAGTATATCTCTTAATATTTGTAAATATATCAATTACTACTTTTGCCACAGGCAATCAATCCTGAAGGTTCATGGCATACAGTAACTTGAAAAGTTGCTGAGGAACAGAGGAAGGTGCCAGTCCTGGATTTTAATCAGGTGAACATCTTCAAATTTGCCAATATCAGCAGCCCAGCATTCATACTTCGAAAAGATTTTTTTTCCTCTGCTCAGCCTCAGGTAGTTACTCTCATAAATGCCACCTTTTACTCAAAAAGCTATCTACTAATACTAGTCACAGGAACTGAGAAAAAAGTAAAGTCCTTTAAATAATTCTTATCCAACAAATAGAAATGTTATAGAAAGATCAAATTTTAAAATTCAAAGCCAGCTGAACTGAAAAAGCCCACTAGAACATTCATCCTAAAATTGCAAAAAGGTTATTAGTGTGTTAGACGATTTCAATGAGTACTTCAGCTGCTACAAAACTTGAAGTTCCAAATAAAATATTAGTAACCAATTAATTTGTGATGTGAGCAATATTAATAGGAAACACACACCTTTTGATGCAAGTAACTCAAGAGAAAAGCAATAGCTAGTATAAATATTTCAATGAAGCAAGAGGTGGTAAAGGCACAAGTTCAGCTACTGAACTGACCTTATTTTTAAGAAGTTTATCTTTTTTGGCTAATGTGAAGATAACAAAGAGGCAGAATTAGCCAATCCATTGCCAAAGAAGTGTTCCTTTTACACTGAGGGAGCTCAGAGATGCTGACAGACTAAACACTTAATGTAGTCAACACTGACCACTGAGGTCCTGGAGCACAAAGTACACTCTGACTTCATCCTCTCACAAGACACTTTTCATTATCATGGTAAGCGTTATCATTCAACATCATGTTTACAGTTTTAAATAAGTTCATGACTGTTGGAATAATAAAGACGCAGCACAGTAGGTGGTTGATTTTAGCAGTATAATGTATCTTGATACACTTAGAAACAATAAGGTCTAAAGAAGCCACTTAAAACTTTCAATTGTACTAACTGAGTTTCAAGGGAGAAAACATGAAATGGAAACATCCCTGAATTTGTAGAATTTGCCAAAATATTAGGACTGTTATATCTGTCCTCAATTTTAATAACAATGCTATAATATACATAGATAACTATATATCCATGTAATTATTTATATGCTAACTATATAAAACTTTAATATTCATCTGCCATAGCTTAGAAATAGGGTACAATTAAAAATTTAGTTCAGTTGACAATGTACTATATCAAACATGGCAATAATAATTCAACTAGCTGAAGAAAAGTTGACAGCAAATAACAAACAGGGTGCGAAAATGCAGAGCAATTACATCCTTGGATAATATCTTTATACAAGACTCACCCTTCAAGAAAACCTACCATTCCAGGACCACAGTCTGTTCCATCTGCTGGTGGCACATGTTGAGTGAAACAGCCTTTGTGAAGCTTTTCTGCACTTGTGCACCACAGATGCATGCATATATTCTCCTGAGTAACAAAAGGCAGGCAAGCCAGTGTAAGGATAACACTACAACACTGGTTCAATTCAGTACTACACGTTGGTTTATAAATTGATCTATTTCCTGGTTCTATGGTAGAAGCTGAAACTAATCCGCAAATTTTTTTACTAAGTAAGTTCTAGTCATTAATTTTCTTCTAAATACATAAAATTGTGACATTTTCTTTAAAACATTTTTTTAAAAACTTTATTCATACATAGAATAGGAATTATAAATTGGAGTGGAAATTTTCAAAATTATTTGAGATAGTTTTCTCTCTTTGCAAGATATTTTTCTAAAGAACTTTTTATTGTTAAATGTTATTCATAAGAAGTTGCCAGAAGCTGCTTTCGATACAATGGTAGAATGTATGAATAATCTGCATTGAAATAATGTATAATGTATACTGAAGTTTCCTATTTTGTGAATATAATGCATACTTTCAACATTTGAACAAAGGGCTCTGAAGTTTTCGAAAGAAACAAAAGTCCACAGAGGGTCATATGAGCTATACCCAATATGATTCATTTCTTTTTTTGAATTTAAATTCAAAATTTATTTAGTGTCTAAATCAGATTGGAAAGAAATGTATCTTTTATAATGATATTTTAAGGTAAATCTTCCCCACGTCACCATGAATGTTTAAAGGCTTATTGAAATTTAAGGTTTTAGGAAAAATAGTCACTATGTGAAATGAGCTTTGCCTGTCCTGCATTCTCTAATTAATCCATTCATTCAACATTCAATAAGCATTTATTTTGTGGCATGTACTGTGTGACAAATCCTAAACTGGACCCTCGGAATAGACATAGATATTTATTTTAATGACTGAGTAAGTCATTGGACCATTCCTGGTCCAATGATCCTCACAACCTAGTAGGTAGGGAAGCAATTAGGCAAAAATATATAGGGAATAAGGAAAACTGAATGAGTACTCTACATGGAAAAGTAAAGCATGGATTCACCAAAGCAGTGACATTTATTCTAAACTAAATCCTAAATTTACACCCATATAAAAGAAAATCATAATTATAGATCCAATAAAAGTGTTAGGATCAACTATTTCAATGAAAAAAGTATCTCGTCTATGAAAAATCCTCAAAATATTATAAAATAATAGCTCAATGAAAACTAAACAATATGCTCCAAATTTAATTCTTTTGGATTCAAATATATGTAAAGGAAAATGCGCTCTATTAGTTAGATTCCTGGTGCCTTTAAAACAATTCAGATTCAAAACACCTATATTTTCTCCTTAAACTCGAAATAATATCATTTGAAAATTAATATTTCAATGCTTTTAATTTTCAAATGATATAACTTCCCTATTTTCTAAATGAGAATACTGCATAGGGATTTGTGAGAGTTAACAAAGATAAGTTTTAAGTACCCCAAACAGTACCTGACACATAATAAGTAGTCAATAAGTTTTAATTTTCCTTTTCTTAACCTCTTTTTGACGAATACTAAATTATCAGACTTAAAAGCTATATTTAGTTCAAGAGAATAAACACATTTTGAAATATATTCTAAGCATAACTTTATGGTAGTTTTCAAACAAAATAAAGGAATTATCTTTTCTTACTATATGGGGACACATTTGTGACCCAGGACCAAACGCAAGTTCACACTGCTTGTTTCCATCATATCGTGATCCAGGAAGTTCTGAAGGCAGATTATATATTTCTTCATCTGGTTTGTCAAGAAGACATTCCCCGTAGCCAGTACTGTACCAATGACAGAAAATAAAATATTAC